GGAGTAGGAGTCATCATTAAAACAATCCATTCTTCAGGGGTGACACATTTTGTATTTGTTACAATTTGTAAATGTCTTGCAGTTTGGAGGAAAATGTAAGGAAATTCTTTGGAAGATGCTTTGAAGACTAATTAAAATGCAATTTGAAAACATATCCCTTATGCTTTGCACTTGTAAATACGAACATATTAGGAACTTACACAGAGATGTGAATGTTCTCATCCTGATGTTGGGTAGCTCTGGTGGGGAACTGTGTACATTAATCTTCTGTCAAAAGAGCAACGTGCTTCTTTTGCACAACTGGGCCCTGTGGGTAACTTCTGTGCAGTGTATTCATAGGGAGAAAACCTGATATTTTAAATTCTCCTCCCTTCCTCTGGGAGGTTGCTGTATACTCAACACAAACTCTTGCTTCTTATACTTACAGGGCTAGAAAAATTCCTCTTAAACCAGAAGCTGAAAAACAAAGGACACCTCCCTTCCTCTGGGAGGTTGCTGTATACTCAACACAAACTCTTGCTTCTTATACTTACAGAGCTAGAAAAATTCCTCTTAAACCAGAAGCTGAAAAACAAAGGACACTCTGGTGAACAGTTGATAACTTAGAGCAGTTATTCTCTAAGCTTCTTGTTATTGGCATAAGAAAAGGACATGACATGGTAGTCTGAAATACTCAAAACTCTGATCCATCTCCTACCTGGAACAGATTTTTTTAACTCTGCTTTTCAGTTGATTTACCCAGAAACTGAAAGAAACTTTAAATTCTGTCCAACAAATATTTATCGAGCACCTGCTATGCATTAATGCTGTTATCTTGTGTTGGATGATATGTATCGAAGACAACAAGGTTCCTGCCCTTAAGAAATTCACAAGATGATTAGGGAAGTAACATTGGCAACTTGGAAAGAATAGTACTTATTTTAAGGAGTTAACCCCAGGACATATGATAGTATAATTCATTAAAGTAATACCCTTAGCCTTTTGAATCTTAGTACCTGCTCTGAAATGTTCAATTGAGTCTTTAGGAGTAACTCATTACATGGCAGCATTTTGCTGACTACATAGTAGAATCTTTTATAATAGTCTTGCACTTATCTTCCGGGTAATTTAATGAATAAAAAGCGTAAACATTTGTGCTTAGATTGTCTTTTACCTTCTGTTTGAGTAAGGACTGAGGGCTGTGCTAGGAATACTTCCTTCTTAGAATGCTAATCAAAGTGCACACTGTTTACAGATGATGAATTCCTTGTGGACAATATTTCTGTCCACAATTGGTTCTGTTTTTCCATGGGCTTTGTGGCCAAAGGGAAAAAAAGTAGCAGTTAAACTGTAAGATACTCTAAGATTAAACTCTAAATTATCCTGAAATTAATATCCTTTGATGGTGTAAATATTCCAGAATTTCCTATAAAAGCCTATAACTTGAGTTATAACTTTAAGCATGATAGGTATCTATTAAACCACATTTAGGTATTTATTCAATGAATTGATTATAAAATAAAATTGAAGTAATACTTGACTTTGTTCTTCTTTTCGTGTCCATTATATAGTATATCAGAGAGAGCTTTTCAAATTTTAAAAAGATTGACTCCTTTTGTCCTTGTACAGTAGACACAGAGAGTTAAATAGCTGTTTTGCACAACTGGTACTCAGAATAGGTAATGAAAAATTAAAACCGAATTCCTAACCATCAAGGTGTATGGTTATGCTTTCTTCCAAGAAAATCTTCAGTTTCTTCATATTTCTCAGATTGACACTGGCTGCATTCCAAACTAATTTTTGTTACAAGACAGAGAGATAACAATATTGACTTTAAATATATTCAGGAACAATAATGTCAACGCTGACTTTGGTTCATAACTTAATGTACTTCTGAATACATGAGCTGTATGATAAGCACATGCTTTAAAATATACTTATTTTTACAACAACAGCTAAGAAAATACAGAGGAAAAGAATAAGGTCTTCACACTTCAGTGTCATTACCTGTCTTTGGGATATGGCCTGCACAATACGCATAAACATATTAGGTGTCTAATCAAATATTAAATTTGTGTCTAAATAGAATTTGAGGACATAATTGTATGTTAGCAGATTAGGTTTTATTTTCTTAAGTCCAAAATACTTAGTCCAGGCCGGCCCGGTGCGCCACTTGGGAAGCGCGGTGGCGCTCCCGTCCGAGGGTTTGGATCCCACGTGCAGACCGGTTCCCGCTCACTGGCTGAGCGAGGCGCGGGAGCAACGCCGAGGCTTGCGGTCCCGT